AGTATACTACCTACTTACCTGTCTACCTTCAAACCGCAATGCATTACTGCTTCACGGCAGAAACAGGCAGGGTGGATTACCTACCCGTGCGGGCTCACAAAATGCCTTACCTAATAGTGGATGGAGCCTCTCACATTCGCAGTCGTCTCTCCAGTGATTCTTGAAATGCCTACGAGTTCTGTGATATTACCTGCCCATAGATAAAAAACACAATAAGTTAAGGTATAATTAATTCTGTTACCTATTTGGTGACGTCACTTCGTCACAATGATAAATTACGGCCGCTCACCTCCTTGACCGAACCTTCGTGGTAGCAATCTACAAAGGTTAATTAATTTACTTGTTTTTTATAATATAACTACACAAATTTTATTCCTTAATTTCGGAGTTATTGAAATTTTGAGGTCGTCGTGGCCTAAAGGATAAAACGTCCAGTGTATTCGTATTTAGCGATGTTCGAATCCCGCAGCCGGATAACGATTTTTCTTATGAAATACGTACTTAACAAATGATCACGATTGGCTTCCTCGGTAAAGGAGCAACGTGTAATAAAAATCAAAAACCCGCAAAATTATAATTTGCGTAATGACTGGTGGTAGGACCTCTTGTGAGTCCGCACGGGTAGGTACCACCGCCCCGCCTATTTCTGCCGTGAAGCAGTAATGAGTTTCGGCTTGAAGGGCGGGGCAGCCGCTGTGACTATACGGAGACCTTAGAACTAATATCTCAAGGTGGGTGGCGCATTTATGTTGTAGATGTCTATGGGCTCTGGTTACCACTTAACATCAGGTAGGCTGTGAGCTCGTCCACCTATGTGCCAGGTATGTTTTAATAATTGCTTGTGGAATGGAAAGGTAAGAGATTTTAGAATCAAATATACGTAACTAACACGAGATAAACGTCCAAATAATATTAAAATTAATAATTATTAAGTTTTTGTATGATGGCATTTTCGTTAACAGTTCTTCAATGACTGAACAGATTTTAATATAATTTTCTATCATTTATTTAGTTTAGTCTAATGCTGATATGTTAATTAAATCTGCACCTCAAAACTAATTGCATAAAGTCGAAATTTAAGTAAACAATCTGTCGAGGATGTCTCAATTTCGTTATGAACACTATGATAGTTTTCTTCTCATTTAGTTTTCATGTTTCGTGAATTACGGATACATATAGGAGACTGACGCATCCCGCGCTTCTGCATTACATTTCATACTTTTAATACAAAACACTTTTACGAGTCGTAGGGCGTCTTCCAAGCACGACTCTTGCTAGGGTTCGTGTTAGCAACTTCGTCAGGTTTGAGCCCCGCGAGCTCACCTACTAGTTAAGGTTACGCTGATATAGGCTTAGGTAGGAAAAAAAAGAGCCCGCATCGGTAGGTTTTACCACCCTGCCGTTATGCCTTAGTACAGCGTACTACATAAAGACGAGTGGCCCATTAGCTCAGTTGGTTAGAGCGTCAGGCTAATAACGCGAAGGTCGCGGGTTCGATCCCCTCATGGGCCACGTTTATTCCCTCTTGGCTGAGCCCTTGCTCGCCCACCTGCCCTGGTAAAACTGAAAAGGCCTCCGGGCCGCCAGTAATCTCTCAAACATAAAAAAAAAACTACATACAGAACTGAGATTCAGAACTCATTTCTGAAGCTGGGTGGCGGCATTTAAATTGTTGATTTCTATGCGCTCCGGTAACCACTTAACACACCAGGTGGGCCGTAAGCTCGTCCAACGGCTTAAAAAAACGTTAGTGTAAACAAGTATCGCGTTTTTAGAAGTATCGTGTCAGTAGACCTAATAGATTCCGGTTCGGCACTTTCATTTTATGTTCTTTTTTGGCATTACCTCTTAAGATTTCAAATAAGCTGGTGAAATAAATCTAAATTATGTAAAATTAAAGCTATTTCAGAGTCGGAATTCGAACCAATCCCTTGAAAGCTGAAATGAACAGCAGTACCTAGTACAATAAAATACACACAGGCATTATAAGTAAACGGACATTGAAAAATAAATATGTTCTGGGGATTATTTTGTTTCTTTGAAGGCATTGAAAATAAAATTGTAAAATACAATTTTCAAAGCCGATGGAATCTGAAACGTCCTTCAATGACAACACAATTTAGTTTAGTGTCGTTGAAATTCCGCAGTGAAACTGGTTGTTGCTAGGACGATGCAGACAGACGGTGCGGAGAGAGAGGTAGGGTAGGTAGGACGCGTCGCCGAACACCGCACTACCTCGGCCGACACGCAAGCGATCTCAACTACCAGGATCCCATAAATTGAAAGATACTCGAACCACATTCCGCGCATACTGTCTCGCTCGCGCCATCCGCATGCGGTATTCATTAAAACGAGCCAAACCGTCAAAGAAACGAGTTCTGTGCCCGGCCTGCAAGCAAAATTATGCTGTATTGTACATGTATAAGGTTCATGCGGTGGATATTCAGAAACCATCCAACTTGTAATAAATACAAACACAACCTCAATTCACCACGTTGCCCACTGGTATCGTCAATCGAAGCGCGTCTGGAATTCCGTAAAATGTTTCTTCAGTTTATGTTATCCTAGTACCTACGATGCTTAGGGATCAATTTGGCGTGGTTAACATTCCTTTTTTGTGGATCAAAATTGTTTCCAATGACGTACTCTTTATTTATAAAATTGTGAATTTGCAATTTTCATTTCAATTTAATGAAAAAACATTTTCCGTATGCCCAGGTCTGCTGTAAACATGCCGTTTGCTAGATAACGGTGGTTATATTTATTTAACCTTCTTGATTCTATACAAAATAAACAATGAATGACGTAACACGTACGGCTCGACAAAAATGGATTAACCATTGCGATTGAGATTTGTGCCTTTTATATACTTAACAGTTCTTTTTTTCTTCTAGTAAGCTTTAGCTATTTATTTATACTTTAAGCACACCTTACAATTTAATATATTATTAATGTTAATATTTTAATAAAGTGAGATTTTATTGTAGCAGTTGCTGGCTGGTATAAAGTTTATTTATTATTATTATTTATCATTGTGAATGATGAAACTTTTATTATTTAAAAAACACACATTACAAACAAAACACCAAGAAACACAAATTTTGATACTAATTTTTAAGTTAATTTATAAGATTTTTATTTCAAAATAATCACTTGCTGACGACAAATAATTCGATGTCCTTCTTTTTATATGAATAATATTTATCAAAAACTCAATCTGCTGCGAAAGTAGCAAGCATGCAACGGATATGGCGCGTGCCGCGACATAGCGGGCAAATATACTAGGATTACATAAACTCAAGAAGTTTTTGATGCTTGTTATGTTCGTGCTGTTATACTGTGTGTGTTGACGTCATTCCAAAGGAAAATTATTCAATTTTAGACCGTATCTTCAAGAAAATAAAGATCTCTATTGTATCTTAACATTTCAACACGTGTTCAACACGACGGGAATATGTAAATACACTTTCATTGGCTTATGTGCGCCTGGTGTTCAGCGCGCACTGCGCAACTCCCCAGACACTGTACGTCACGTACGCTTCGCACACAAGGTAATCGAGTCTGTCGAGGTGGCCGTGTTATGCAAACAACGCATATCGGAGTTATCGGACCGGCTACGCGGCTCGTCGCCGTGATCCGTGACTGCTAATAAAAGACAAATATTGACGCGGAGCACGCCGCCTGTTATTCTGATTGAATTTTAATCAATTGAGCTTAAAGAATTATCAAGAAAAACGCTTACGTCAAATAAAAATAGACCCCGCATCATAATTTCGAATTGAGTTTTTCAGATAACAGGACCCACTTATCACGGCGGCTATCCGGTGGTACAGGCATAATAATGTAATTAATGTTGCTGCCGAAATTGAGCATACTCTCACTCACTTTGACCTCAGACTTCGAAAGATTATCTGAATTATTATGAAGAAACACAAAACACATCATTCAGTCACCATCGTTCACATCCCGTAATCTCTCTTCGCGTAGTTCATCCCACCCTGGCACAGATATTACGTTCGTAATTGCTAGAATGATAATCATCAGTTTCAAAATCTGTGGCCAGGCTCTAAGCCTTCCGTGTTACTTGCGAGAGGATTCCTCTATCTCGTTTGTATCCAATGCTATTTGCGCTTGAAGCAATTGGTCGGTCGTTGACGTAATTCTGACTTCATTGACACGATGCGACGTTCAAGGCTGTGGCATAAAGCGAACCGATTTCCTTTGGTAATTTTAATATCCTCTACTTCACCAGGATTGATGGTTCCTAGGACGGGAAGACCGCACGACCGATTAATTTCTGCCTGATCTACAGTGGCCATCGCCATAGTCACTCATGGAAATTAGCAGTGCCAATACAATGAAGATGCTGTCTATGGTTCAGAAGTGTTCAAATGCGCATTATGAATGAATGCAATGCGTTTAAAGTTTTCATGATGATCTCTGGTGATGGCGGGCGGTGCAACGGTAAAATGGAGATGAGGGGACAGCCTCCAGGACTATCTCAGAGGATTTTATTATTTATTACTGGTGGTAGGACCTCTTGTGAGTCCGCGCGGGTAGGTACCACCACCCTGCCTATTTCTGCCGTGAAGGAGTAATGCATTTCGTTTTGAAAGGCAGGGCAGCCGTTGTAACTATACTGAGACCTTAAAACTGATATCTCAAGGTGGGTGGCGCATTTACGTCGTAGATGTCTATGGGCTCCAGTAACCACTTAACATCAGGTAGGCTGTGAGCTCTTCCAACCATCTAAGCAATAAAAAAAATCTCCATGGAACTTACATTAACAAAACTATTCAATCCAAATAGTCGATACGATAGCCAATAATAGAGCCAACCGCAAAAGTTTAACTGTAAAATAGTTGTAGGGCTGGAATAGGCACCAATCCTACCTATTTATGGAAAACAAAGCATTTCCCAATGCAAGGCAATTCCCAATGGCAGGTTGCGACCAACAATTCGTTTCATTAAAGATAACAACAGTAAAAAATTGTTTTGAGGTTTATTAAACAAAATTTTGTCTTTACATTAATTAGGCATGATACAATGCACGCACGTAACTGAATAATTTGAATATTTTAAGTTTATCTTTTTTTTAATTAACAAGAAAAAAAAACTTAAACTCGTATTTATTAAATAGTTTTATGAAAACTGTGTAGACAAAATACACAGCTATTGAGATTTTTCTTATCTACTCTTCTATCGCGTCAATGTAAATATTTCCAGTATCAAAGACCCCTGTTTTGATTCGCTGGCGTCTTCAATGCCGTACAGAAAACGAACAAATTACGGAGCGAGGGAGGTCAACAGTGCTGGCTCTCGATCGCTTTATTTCAACCTCCTTACGACTTATGTGTTCCTAGTATCTTGCGTACAATGCCGCAGGTTGCGACCACTCTCTCTAACTGCTCTTATGTTTTGTTGTGATTACTGGTGCGGCGGTTGGCGTCGAGGTCGTCTACATTATTCGTGGGAGGGTTTCTTGTGACTAACTGAGCTCTCGTCCATAAGCTAATAAATAATATATCTAACTACGTATATGTACACCGCTGTCTGGATGCAGAAGCTAAAATGTTTTTGGCGACTGTGTTTTTCTGTTTTTTTATTTGGTTAAGCTACCAAACAGCTCTCTTCTTATTTATGTTTTATAAACAAACTGTAGGTAAATATTGAAGAAGAAATATAGTATTTAGAATATTAAAAAGCGTCATTAATTAATTTTCGGTGCCAACAGTTGTTTCTCCGGTCAAATGTTCCATTCTGGCGAGGTATATGACATCTGAAATTAGTTTCTCAGCTAGAAATCTTTGAACTTGTCTTAGTTCACCGAGCTGTAAGCCGACTGTTCTGCCGAACGCTTCTGATTCTCTTCGAGCCCTCTGGTCGGAATGTATACTAGCCGTATCCGTTTGTACGTCGTCCGTAAAATCTTCTAAATAAATGCTAGTTAATTTCGTTTTCTTTTTGGACGGCTCCTCATCTTCTGAACTAGTGCGATCTTCATCGTCCTGTATAATAAATATTATAACATATTCAATATTTTTTATTCTGGTTAATCTCGATTAAAAGACAATATAAGAAAAATAGTAGGCATTGTGTTTTCTTGATTTTTTTTTAATACACTTCAAGCTTGGTTAACAGACTGGTTTTTAATCAAACTTACCATGGCATCGGATTGCAACGTGCTTGTTACCAATGGTCGCAAAGGGAATTTGTTAACATTATTCAAGAATGTTAAATGATCGTAGTACCATAATGAGGGTACGTGCTTTTTGCCACCGGAAACAAGCGAAGCGACAACCTGTGAAAAAACTAAGCGCTATAATTAATTAATAATTTTACAAAGCGTAGCCTATTAGAAAACATGTCCGCTCATACCTTTCTGTATTCACGTCTATAAGTTGCACGCATGTGTTCTATTTTCTTTTTTACAACATCTATAGATGCATCTTCATATAACTCTCTGTATTTCTCCCGTAATAATTCATAAGCTGCCTCACGCGATTCTTTATTATTGTACTGGCTATGAATTGGATCCCAAAGGCAGGGAAGACTTTTGTAAAGGTCTAATAATTCAACAATAAGTTGACGTTCCGTCAGAACTCCTTTGCCCATTGCTTGAAGATTATTCTGAAAACACAAGCGAATCAGACCGCGTCCAACAACGTACTGACAGAATCAGTGCGATCTGTGCTCTGTAGGACCGGCTGTCAGTCGGCAACGTCGCGTCGCACTGGATACCGATCGGTAGTCTCTTTCTAATTTATAGCGAACGAGTGAGACACTTCCTAAAGCGACAGCTGTAGAGTTCGGCGTCAGTCAGGCACACGATAATCGGATAAGTCTTGTGAGTTAAAACGGATCGCTTCCAAAAAAAAAATTGTTACTTATTAGACTATGTATTAATCCTACGATTTAGGCTAATTTGTAAATTCATAGTTCAATTAGTAATAGGAAGTTTTTATTTATAAATTTACTTACGAAATTTGTGAACTGTTTTTTTTCCTACCTTTGTTATTAGCCTTGAGAGGCTATATCAGCGTTACCTTAGCGTGTAGGTGGGTTCTCGGGGCTCAAACTGGAGGTGTTGCCAACACTGGCCCTAGCAAGAGCATTGCTATGCAGAATCTACCGCCGGACTGGAAACGCGACCCACTGAAAAGATCCGGCCAAAAACTCAGTGGGCTGTGTCTTTGGGTTAGTTCTAAACTGTAGGTTTTTTTTTATTACTTAGATGGGTGGATGAGCTCACAGCCCACCTGGTGTTAAGTGGTAACTGGAGCCCATACACATCTAAAACGTAAATGCGCCACCCACCTTGAGATATAAGTTCTAAGATCTCAAGTATAGTTACAACGGCTGCCCCACCCTTCAAACCGAAACGCATTACTGGTTCACGGCAGAAATAGGCAGGGTGGTGGTACCTACCCGCGCGGACTCACAATAGGTCCTACCACCGGTAAAAAGGTCTGTAGGTAGTCTCTTAGTCTACTAATGGCAGAGGGTACCTTCAGCCCGCACTGACAGGTACTTAGCTGAGACCTGCATAAATGTCTTCAACCTGACTTCCGTTACTACTTTAATATTGAGGTGATTGTGAGATCGTCTGTTGATACATCAAAAAGCTGTTGAACGACTGAAAAAACGAAGAGGTTGGTTCTCAATTCGACTACACTATCGGCACGCTATGATGGCCGTCTTGATATATTACAATAGTGATGTGAAATGTCAATTTATTCTAGAAAGAAATAAAATCAAATCCATAAGTTTTTATTGCAAGTAGTACCTGATTAAAAAGGTTTAATAAAACAAAAATATAAATGCTTACTTAATATATTTAAACGATCTAAATATTGGAATGAAAATGAATATACATGATACATACTTTATATTCACACAAGAAGCAAATTAATACAAAAAGAGACCACAAAAGGCTAGATTTAATCAGATTCGTCCATACTGCTATTTTCACTGTCGTCACTGCTATCATCACCTACATTAATTATAAGTTCGTTTTCTAAAATATTATCTACGTTGACATCTCTGTCATAATCTTACCTTATTAATTAATTTAACAGTTCTATTGACAACCTTTTTCCAGTCTCCTTTAGTTACACGTTCACAAGCTTCTAATATTTTTAGCATTTCTGTTGTGATAAATGGGGGACAAAACTTCTTTGTATTTAGAAATCAATGTAATTACAAAATTGTGTCCTAAAATAATACATTCGATAAATTTTATGACTAACTGCACCTCACTATTGACAATAAAGAACAGCAAATTGCTCCTTCAAATGTAATTACTATTAATACGAAACTTTATGAGTGGACAAACGTCAAAACATCCATTATAGAGTGCCGGTAGAATAGTAGGTATCTTTTTTCCTACCCATAGACATAGTAGACAAGTAGACCGCAATATAAAATGAAAATAGAAGACTCATTCTTGAAGGCATTCCAGTGAAGTAAGTTAGTTATAAGCAGATACAAGCTTTCACATAATCCATTCACCTTCAATTCCCCTGCAAATAGCGTGTAAATATTGTTATGAAATTAAATATTTATCTTCATACCGGCTTTCCGCTTCGCCGCGCTTTTTATCTCCTAACGGTCAAATTATTCTCATACGAAATTTTCGTCACAATCGGTTCAGTAGTTTTGGCTTGTAATCGTACCAGACTAAAGTTTCTTTCGTATGTATTTCTAATACTAGTTTGAATCGACTTCTAAAAAAGTGATCTTATTTCAAATATTATTTACATATGTTTGGTTCTATAGTATGTGTTATATATATGCCAATTAAAAGCAATGCAAAGTTTTTCTTCGATCTTGTCTTCTTATAGATCGGATATCTAAGGCCAAAGGTTCGATCGCCGCTAACATTCAATCTAGGACTGCTAATAATACAATCTGGCGCAAGGGACTGGCGATGATATTGTACTCGACAAAAACAATCTACCCATTCCACCTAATTCTGCCACGAAGCATAAGTTATAAGTGCCGACTCGAAGGGCGAGACAGCCGCTTTAAAATACAATTGAACCTTTTTTTTTTCCTACCTAAGTTGAGCTGAGCTACCTAAGCCTTGAGAGGCTATTTCAGCGTAACCTTAACTATTAGGTGAGCTCACGGGGCTCAAACCTGACGACGTTGCTAACACGAACCCTAGCAAGAGCCGTGCTTCGCAGAATCTACCACCGGATCGGAAACGCGACCCACTGAGAAGATCCGTCGAGAAACTCAGTGGGCTGTGTCTGTGGGTTAATTTACTCGTCGAGCCCTACGTCGCAAGCGACAGGTTCGACGAGAACGATGACCGGTGCTTGAGGTACCTAAAAGCACCGTTAGTGGATCAGGAGGACAATTCAACCTTTAACCTCATGACTCTAAATAGGTGGCGGCAATCACATTGCGATGTTTGTTCATCATTTTTATTGCCTTTGTAGACAGATAAGCACACGGCCCGCCGAATGGTCAGTAATCAGCGTCGCTCGTGGACGCTGAGAATTCAAACCTCGATTGAAGAAGGACATTATCTGTTCATCTGATGCTATAAAAACATACGGACATATGTATGTAGAGTAGTTAGTTCTATTCTAACGAAAAACGAGACGATTTTGTTTTGAATTCAGCGCGCAGGTTACCAAACATTCATTGCCGAGCAAGAGGATCACCCAGCCATTGCCTTTCGGAGGTTTGAAATGCGCTAAGGGAATTTTAAAACTTTGAAAACCCTCTGAGCTAGATTACAAAAAACAAGTCAATAGAACGTAGGTACAAAACTTGGGAAACATCAACAATACTACTAAATCTAGTTGGTGCCTTAAATATTGTAGAGAGATAGTTCCTTACCACCTTACATGTGATGGTCTGAGCACCTATAGAAATATAGTTTTTAAAAAAAAACACACATTCGTGATAACTAAGTTCGCGCGTCGATGAAATATTTAGGTACCATTTGATTTTGGTTTCATCTCTTCAATAAACAAGTTTAATTCATACACTGCAACGGTAACAGAATGTTTTCTTTTGTTTTGCTTAATATGGGACATCTCCTTTCACAACTCGACTGAAAATACCTTCTTTACGTACCTACAAGATAATTGTCAAATAAATATATACAACGATTCAACATTTTTAAGATCATGCAGTTGTGATCGGTATTGGTTGTCGTGAAATAACGTTAGAACATCGCTGCGGCGGAATAATCGTTTTAATTAAACTAAGATCCGTTAAAACAATTTTTAACGCGCTTTTATTAGCTTGACCTGTGTCTATGTATCTACTGGAATATTTCAATTTAATGTTCATCAAAATCAAGATGTCCGATTAACATAAAACATTTTTGAAGTCGTCGTGGCCTAAAGGATAAGACGTCCGGTGCATTCGTATGTAGCGATACACCGGTGTTTGAATCCCGCAGGCGGGTACCAATTTTACTGATGAAATACGTGCTCAACAAATGTTCACGATTGACTTCCACGGTGAAGGAATAACATCGTGTAATAAAAACCAAACCCGCAAAATTATAATTTGCGTAATCACTGGTGGTAAGACCTCTTGGGAGTCCGCACGTGAAGCAGTAATGCGTTTCGGTTCGAAGGGTGGTGTAGCCGTTGTAACTATATTGAGACCTTAGAACTTATATCTCGAGGTGGGTGGCGCATTTACGTTGTAGATGTCTAAGGGCTCCAGTACCTACTTAACACCAGGTGGGCTGTGAGCTCGTCCATCCATCTAAGCAATAAAAACATAAAAATTGCACGCTTGTCGAAGATCAATAATAATAAAATAATTTTATTATTTTTGCCTAAAATCTCAACCAGGATATAAATCTAATTTTTTCGTTTCTCTTTTAAAGGTTTTTTATTTCAACGTTTTAAAAATCTACTTCTTATTAGATTTAGATTTTTATTTAGATTTATTGTGTTGTTAATGATTGCTTTTATTAAAGCTTCCTATGCTATTAATGTATTTGGTAGAAAAAGTAATAAATAAAAAGAGAACAATAATAATTATAATATGCATAAATTTGATGAATTTTCCTTTTTTTTCTAAGAATGAAGACAAAAAAGTAGACTTCATTTTTAATATATTTTTTATATTATAAAGCTGAAGAGTTTGTTTGTTTGAACGCGCTAATCTCAGGAACTACAGGTCCGATTTGAAAAATTCTTTCAGTGTTAGATAGCCCATTTATCGAGGAAGGCTATAGGCTATATAACATTACGCTAAGACCAATACAAGCGGAGCACTAATAAATAATGTTTTAAAGTCGGGGTTATTGTTACCTTTTGAGAGCTTCCACTGCGTGCGCTGCAAAAACGGTTAAAGTTTCGCTAAAATAATGTATGACAGAATTGTTCCCCTAAATAAGATCTAAACAAAAGCCCGCGACAGAATATGTCTATATGTTAAGGTTGGCTCACTATAACGTTTTTTATGCTAACCAAATTTGTTCTAAAATATTAAAAGCATTATTTGTGAACTTATTACACGCGGACGAAGTCGCGGGCAAAAACTAGTTTTTAATATTATATACAGTCTAATGTAGGACCGCCTCTGGTTGAGTACGAAGACCCAGCTGCTAAGGACAAGGGTGGGCAGAGCGGCAACCTCGCACAGCTTTATTGATCTTCCACACCCCGCCTTCAGCC